AGGATTTGCTGGTCAAAAACCTTCTAAGCACTACAGACACTAATTCTGAGGTGTTTTTGTACGGACCGAACAGATTGCCACTAGCTCTGATTCACCTGATTCAGCAGCGTAGGTATTTTCCAACATCAGCAATCATTAAAAACACCCGTACTACTTAAAATAAATGAGTGTCACAAGCTAGCTAAAATTACCAAATGCATACTGACTCCCTGTGCCTTTGTGTAACTTCTCTCCTTTTGGGTTATACACAACAACAAGGACAAAGGCTGTTAGCTAAGGATGAGTCTCTATTTTTAGGAGCCCAGTTCTTGGAACACCTAACTTTCATGATCTCCTCCTCTCCTGTTTGCAGCAATGCAGACCACAATCCCACTCCCAGCCATCACCACACATTCATGGTGGCACAACATCTCTAAGGCCACCGCAGCAAACGCTTACACAAAAAAAGTGTTATTGGAAAAGTATTCTTAGCTACCATTCATTCCGCTTAGCAAGTGGAAACTGGTGAGAGCGCCAACTCCATCTGATCAGCCAGCTCTTCTTGGACCACAAGCAAGTGTCCTGAGAACGACCAGTGGCTCACAGACCACAGTTTGGGAATCACTGTCCTAAATAACTCACAACCCTCTTATTATAGCACACCATGCTCCTTGTCTTGCTAAGGCTACTATTTTAGGTTTTTTCCTGCCAGCACAGCATATCATGATGGTAGAAACTTACGGCTCATATCTGTTAACCACGCCCACACTTATATCTGTCATTTTGTGGACAACTATCTAGCAATCAACAAGATGATGAACTTGCTGAGTATTAAATTCAGTTTTACCCAAATGATTTCAGCCCTTTTTTTGTACATTTATATCACTTTAGCTAGAGGCAGAATCTCACTCATAGTCAATTCTGCAGTTTCATTAGAAGTCAGAGGGCTGGAAAAGCAAACTCCATTCAGATGAATTGTAGCAACAGCTAAGAAGCAATATATCAAATAAATTCAAGCTGCACATGGCTTCCAAATTTTCCTGTGACACTAGAAAATTTTTTTTTATACAAAACTTCATTTCACTTCAAAACTTCACACTGATGGTGTATTAACATTTTGGGATCACATAATCAATGTCTTCATAGAGAATTTGTTACCCCTCCCCAACTTCTGTGCTTTTTTCCATATTGCTTCTTAAGGATATAACTCAGTTTCAAAACAGTCTGAAGGGCCTACTCTCCCTGCATAAAGAAAAAGCTACGGAAACACTCTTTTGATGGACTATAAATCAATCTTTACCTACCTCTTTTTATCATGGAAAATGAACTAAGGATAGTTTAACAGATTTTAAGGACACACTATTATCTTCTACAATCCATGGGACATGAAAGATCAAACTAGAATTTTATCTTGTAACTTGGCTATTAAGAATGTCACTCAAACTTCCCTGTCATTCACAAGCTACCTAATACTGATTCAGAAACAAAACAACAGAAAATTCAGTAAACAATCTGTTCCAAAGAATAACACATCTTGCTAACACAATAAAAAGTATTTATATTATGATTATATGTAGCTCAATACTCATCTGTACAGTTTAGAAAGTTCTAGAGATTTATCTTTAGTATAATTTATCATGTGACCAAGTATATCATTAAGATGTGACTGATGACTAGCCATTTATTAGGTACACGATATTTTAATGCATCAGTTGTGTCTCTTTAATCAATTAAGATATGAATCACACTATTTCATATTTCTATAGCACTTGGCATACACAGAATATTACCAAAAATCATTAAATCATTTAATTCTGATTTAATTTTTCTTTACTTCTCAATCTTACTTTGCTACAAAGAAAAGTACCTCTGCGGTCCTGAGGAGAAACAAAACCAAACCTGTATTCTTCTATTCTTATTTCTGTCTGAGATGTTGTTTTTCTTATTTCTTATCAAACCACAGCAGATGACCACCGAATTAGACCATTTTAAGACATGGCTATGTATGTACACCTGCTGTCTACACAGCCTTTACTGGCAAAAGTCAACCAGGGTGCTAAAAAAAGGGGGTGATGGATGTGTTAAAGGGACTGAGTGTCAAGGGCTTCCTATCTAATCTCCCATTTTCCACAGCTTTTAAAGAAATTTTGGGCAAGATTGAGTCTTTTAGTCCTTATTTTAAAGTGGGATATTCATAACACAGCACTTGAATTAGCAATGCATATAAAATCAGCAATGAGTAATTTCAGGATTTGTTCATCGATATGTGTTAGTTTTAACTAGCGGTTTGTTTCCTATCAAAAGTTGAAAGGCTGTTGAAAAGCTTCCAACTGGCTACTATTCATTGCCATCAGAGGAGCTACTCCTAAAGATGGGTACTCAAGCATTTCTACTCAACTGGATTTCGTAATATAAAGTACAGAGCTTCAGTCTCCACAATTCATAATGTATTATAACGCCCACCCCCACAAGCTGAGCAGCTATACTGGCATTTTGACACAATAATTTGAGTGTGAATAAATATGGAATATTTTTTATCTTAGTTTTATTTTTCAGTTTTACCCTTTTTTTTTAAACCAAGTTTATAAAGTATTTAAGAGTAACATTGTTTAATGATTTAATTTCTTTAAAAAGCACCAAACTACTTTTTCATTCTTTCCTTAAACTGTTTTCTGTTCCTGTTTAAGGGAAATCATATGTTTAAAAGAGAGCAATCCAACACAATTTATTTTCTTCTGAGTTCACAACCTACAAAATGAAACATTCACTGATGGCTATATACCACGAAAACATGACCTGCCTTTAGTCTTGCAACTAAATCAAAAGACCACCCGTTTAACCCCTAGGAAAATACTAACTTACAGATACTAGCGTTCAGGCAGTAGCCTCTGTTTTGACAGTGAGGGCACTGAGCTATAGCGTACTTCTAACACATTCATATAGGAAACAGTAACTTGCACTTTAAATAAACGCTCACAACTTCTAATAAGTTACTTGGTTAGAGATAGAGATCAGACGCAGAGATCAGAAATCTCAAAAGAAGTGTAATGCAAATTCTTCAATGGAGTGAAACATTAAAAGAAGCTCCAGAACTTAAAAAAAAAAAAAATCAACTGTGGGTATACCTGCCTATAATTTTTACTTTTAAAGAAAAATTTGCCATATCTTAATTATGATCTATTTGTATACATTTTTCCTTTCTTATGAACATGTTTTTATACAGTAGAAATTAACCAAACGATGTAAAATACCTGCACCTTAAAAAGACTTACAATACAATCATAATATATTTGGCATGGTAAACAATTGGAGTAAGTAAGTAGGCAGGGGTTTTGGTATTATAAAAGAACCTGTTCCTAGGCAGCATCTGTTCAAGAGGCACGAATATCTTAATCATTAGGAAAACTTTGAGTCAAAGTCTCAATATCAGGCACTGAAAAGGAAAAAAGCAACACTTCTAAGATTATAAGATTTATAAAGCACATACAGATTATGCCAGTTTTAAACAAAATAAAAGAGAGCTGGAAAACTACTCTCCTTTTTGTAATTTTGCCTACACCCAAGGATTGATGTTGGCCTGCTTTACAGTCACAGCAGTATTCAAAAAACCTGCTTTTTTAAAAGCTAAGGAGGATCAAGAAGTAAAAATTGAGGCAAAACTTCTCTATTGCATTCACTGAGTAAAAAGAAGTTTCAAATCTTTTTGCAGAGTGCATTGATTGCCAGGAACAGAATTACAGCAATGAAATGTTCAATCAATGTTGCGTGTCTCTGTGGAGCATAGCTTGCAAGAGCTCTCTGAATAGAAGAATATCATACAGAAGTAAAAATGAAGGGTGTAGCTTTGTTCCATTTTCAAATCATTATGTGACATGCTTACAAAAAATTAGGAAGTAGTCTGTGATTGATGGCTGCTGTTGGAAAACTTGCTTTAGTCTTTCTGAGACTTTCAAAATCTACTTGACCTAAATATAACCAAGCGTATTATTCCAACACAGTTTGTTTCATTTTAAACGCTTTATTACTTTACAGTAATAAAGTCTGGCATTCAGTTGCCAGACTTCTATCTGTATCCCATGGTTAACATTGTACCAGAAATTATAAACCTAGTGATTTCTCACCTATCGGGAGAAAGTGCTAGTATTTGGTTGTTTGACACTTGAACACAATGACTGGCAGGAATTTTACCAAAGAAATGCAGGTTTCATGTTTCAGTTTCAAACTTGAGATTAAATAAACCAATAAAAAGGCTTAAAAGCTCGGGTGAGCTTTTAAGGTTAGTGAGGGAAAGTTATGCTAAACAGCTAAAAGAGTTTCTTCTTCAAAATTTTCAGGTTGCTTCACATTACTGAACCTTTTGGTCCTAAGGAATCATACTGATCTACTGCTACATCACTGCAGCTTGACCAAGTCCAGAGGTCTTCTGACACTAAGCAGCTTTCAGGACAGGATTCACTATCGGCTCCTCCCATCTCACAATGCCGTACATTAACAGTATCCACTTAGAGCTGGCTACCATGTCTTGCTGGCAATTTGCATCTCAAAAGACTTTTAACAGATAAACAAGCAACCTCCACCCTGCAAATGCCCCTCAGAAAGATTTACTTGCTTCCTGGAAATTTGCTAATTTAGTACAACTATTTTTGAATTCAGAGATAATTAAGTCTCTCCTCAAGTACTCAATCTTTGAATTGGACATTTCATTAAAAAATGTACTTTTCTAATCTACTCTTCTCAACATAAATACATTCTAGACCTTCTTCTCTATAACTTGTCTCTAAAGACTGCAATCAGCAAACTCTCTTATTCTCTTAATAGCACTTATTTGACTGGCAAATCTAATTTACCTAAAAATACTCCTTTCCTCACTAACCTCTCTTCTCATACAACTGTTCTGTGGAAATACAATGGACACATTTAAAAACCATGTCATGCTGTTTTTAATAGGCACAAGTTCTGCAAGTGAAATCGGGGTGGGGGGGGGGTACAAATATTTGTATGTACAAGTTATAGTATTGTACCTTCTATCATTTCCATACCACTAGGAGGCTTACAATGTCCGGCATGGCTCACAACCCAAACAGGATACTGCTGATTTAGTCCACAATATAAAGCCTGTATAAAGGTCCTGTAATAACCTGCCAGTCCAGGGTTACCTGCCAAAAAACAAAACATACAAGCACAGTCAATATTAACCTTCCAACAGCAAGCAATCTGCTTCAAAGCAAAATAAACACTATTATATAGCAATTTGTTAATTTATTTTCTCTAGTACATTTCCAATTTTTATTTTTATTTTTCCCAATTTCAGGGGTCACACTATTGAACTGCCATTGATCAATGGCACCCATGAGAAGCATTTTACAGAATCACTTTGAAATTGCAAAACCTAAAATTGAAGCCCAACACAAGAGAAAAATCTCCTTTTCCATCAGAGGTCAACCAGCTTGCTTAGCTATCCCATCAAGTTACAGATACTTGAAAATTGGGCAAAGAAACTCCCAGATTTTATAAAAATACCACCAAGACTACAGCGTGTATCACTTGATCCACATGTCTGCCCTCCAGAGTATCTCAGTGTTACCACTTCAAAAGAGGTATGTGGTATCCTGACAATACAAAGGTCTGTACTGACCCTCATTTAGGTCTGTACTGACCTCATTTAGTCCTCACTGGACTAAATTAATTTTTTCTGCTTGCAACTTCATATTCTCTCTCTTGAGATTTGAAAAGATTTGAAACTTCTTTTTACTCAGTGAACGCAATAAAGAAGTTTTGCCTCAATTTTGACTTCTTGATCCTCCTTAGCTTTTAAAAAAACACGGCTCTTAAGCTCTTTCCTTTTCAACCGTCATGCTCTAGAACCATGGGAGAATCTGTCCTCCCTCCTGCATCCCATCAGCTTTAGGGAGAACTTCTCAGAAGAGACTGGTGTCTGAACAAATCCAGCTTGCCTTGAGAGAGCAGACCACCTTGCTCTAAATCCATTGTTTAACAGTGACAATATCGACAGTCAGGTACCATTGCTGAAGTGGAAACTGAAATACTGTCCCAAAGATAAAAATATATATCTGGTAGGGATTTCAGGATTTCCAAACAAAACTCTAATCTCTATTCCTCCTTTTTTTCTCTCTCTTTTGGGTATCAGTAGTGACAGTGTCAAGGGACTTATGTTGGAGAGTAAATCCATATGAAGACGAAACAGATTTTGTTTCCTGATTCCCATAGGATGCATAAAAATTCCACAAAGACAAAAAAACATATAATTTCTCTCTATTTATTTATTAATTTTCCAGGGTAGTTCCACTGATTTCTTATTATCATTTAGACACCAGGAAAGCCCACCGTCTTGGTTAGGATTGCTCAGTTACATGTCTTTCACTCATATACTAGGCAATTCTTAGTTTGGATATCATCAACAGCAAAAGGCGGCAAGAGCAGTATTGTGTAAAAAACATTCACTTTTTAAGACAAAGACATCCCAAAATAACACGGATGTATTACTGAAAGGGTATGAGAGAAAAAAAAACCTCACTAAAATTGTGTAAACTCCTTTATATCAGTCTGACTGTAATAACAGAGGCTGAGCCATCTAAGCATTCATAGTGACAGAGAAGAAGAATCAGAGCTGTAATCAAATTAGTACTTGTAGAAATGGTGTGTGGAGATAAAAACTAGGTTTTTATTCCACTTCTTCCCTTTCTATAGTGGGCATTTTCATTTTTTCTTCTTTTACTTCAACCCTTCTGCTCTTCAGGTATCATACAGTAAGCTCACTGCTCTCCCAAGAGCATTCCCTCAGTCCAGGGCTTCCAGAACGCAGCCTGCTCGCCGCAGAGCAGCGGTGCACCAGGCACCAAAGCCACCCCCAGCACAGACACCTGCGCAGGAGCCGATGCCATTGCTCACACCAGTGATGATACAAGGGCAGAGTAGGGAAGCCTTCCACTCTAGGTAATATATCACACATGCTTCATCCCTCACTTACATGTGAAAAGTGTCTCTGATGGTTTTTAAACCTTAATAAAATTACCGATCTTAAAACAACATTATTTTTACTGGAGTACACAGATTTGGAAAAAAAACAAAACAAAATACCAAAAACCAAAACCCACGGTATCAGTTATTGTATGTGCTAAGCATCTCTTTGTAAGCTTAACATTAAAGGAGAATTAAAAAAAAAAGTTGTTGCATATATAAACTCCAGAATGCATGATCAAATTTTTGCTAACTGATTTCCAGAAAAACAATTTAAAATTCACAGGGGTCACACATCCATGCAACTGCACCACATTTTCATACGTCAAAAATATACAATATAGAGGGCCCCAGAGACAATAAAATCAAATCTAGACATCATCTGTCAAGCTCCTTGGATTGATGTTACGTAGAGGAAACCCGTCTTTCAGCAAGGTTGAAGATGAAAGTAGCAGGAAACCAAAATAAAGTGTGTCTTTTGTAGTACAAATGGTCATGATGTTTTGGCACTACGCTTAGTCCTGGAATATAATGCAATTAGATATTTTGAGATCAAGCAATCACAAAATTAATCTCAAAACCAGCCTTTTTTCTTTACATTTTTCTCTCCCTTAATAATGCAAAACAAGGAAAGGGGGAAGAAATGGCAACAGCTGCCTTAAACATTTCGGTGCTCTTTCCCATCATCAGCCAGGTGAACGTAACATGTAAATGTTCTCAGGATTAAGTCATCAGCTGAAGAGCAGTGAAGTAAGAACTGCTTATTAACAGTGAGGTTTTGCATCAAATAGTATACAAACCTCAAGGCACTCTAACACTTTTTTGAGGGAACGGGGATTTTTATCCTGCGATAAACGTGATATGTATTTTAGGCAGGTAAAAGAGAAGATCCATAAATGCAAAAGAAACCCCCTTTCCCCACTCTTCATAAGCATCTGCTCGTGGTAAAAAACATTCTGAGGGGTCAGCTGTCAGAACTGCTACTGATACTTTAAAATGCCTGGAAGGGGTATGAATGAGAACTGCTGGCACAAATCGAAAGGAAAATCAACAACAAAGATTTTAACAGCAAAGATTTCTATAGAGAAATCACCACTTGTAAAACAGCTATAAATTTATTCTTTATTGAACTTTCAATTTCAATGGAGTTATTCCAGATTTGCACTGACTTAAGTAAATGCAGATTAAAAGTCCCTGCTCTTGAAAGCTTGCATCTGCAATATTTATAAGTGGAGAATGTTTACCTCCTAATATAGCTCAAACTAGCATCTCTGCAATTTCAGTCATTTTATATGTTTTTACTTTAGCTGCTATCTGCCAAAATATTTTAAGGAGAGCAAACAAAAAAACTGAACAGATAAAGATTTTTTTCATACAACAGAGTTACAGTAACTGCTAATGGAAATAACTGGGGCTTAATACGCACAGCAGACTGTGATCAACAATATTTTGGGCTCATCTACTGCGATTGAAATATTATTCAATTAAACTATTTTATTTTATAGAAGAAGAACTACCAGGTTCATCACAAAGGCACCCAGGCAATGCAGTGCTCATTTGTGCATTTTAAGGATTTCCCAGTACATCAAACCAAAACTGCCTAAGTTCTTTCACTCAGCAACCAAGTGTCAAAAAATGGAAACCATAAGTAAATGCAGTGTTAACCTCCATGATTTGAAGGTTACTCCAGTTATTTGAATACCACATCAATCCTCAGACACCTCAGGGCACCTGAATCATTCATGCATGCCAGCAAATCTCACGTTGCAGTCATCTGAACCAAGAAGCACATCTCAAGCAGTTACTCTCAACTGTGCTTAATTTTCAAGAGTGTTTATGTTGTTTCAGAAGCCTTTTAAACAATAGCTGTAAATGGTGACCATAACAGAAAAAGACACAAAACTACAATACACTGCATATTAGTTTCATTTGCAAAAGATTTCTCAGCATTTCATGGGAAGAGTATGTCAAGGGGACAATTTGCACAGTGAATTAGAACACAGTGGGGCCACTTTATTTGTTGTACTTAAAAGTTTCAATAACCAAAGGACTCTTGCCACCTTTTCTGTTCTTCTCCGTAATACACAGCATTTCATCCAGCTATTCTACATTAAGCCCAAAGTTTTCTATTTTTAATTTGAAGACAGGAATCCTTCTTCCTCTTCCGTTCTGTTCCACCCACAGTGAACGCAAAACGGTACAGAACGACTGAATGTGCAGAGGTGTAACTTTGAGCTATATTAGGAGGTAAATATTCTCCACTTATATATACTGCAGATACAGGATTTCCAGAACTGGAACTACTACTCTTTAATAATCCACATAGTTAAAAACATGAAAATTACTTATAAACATGCATTTGCCTGCCTTTCACTTTCAAACACTTTTTTTGTTAATGCTTTTTCCACCAAATCAAGATTTTAAATACCTACCACTTCCTTCTTATGAAGACAGCTAGCAGTGGAGAGAGAACAATTTGTATGAACTAAATATCAGCCCCAGGATATCACTGGTAAAGAATAACTTTTATCCCGATTTCACATGATTTCCTATACAAAGTGTCATAAAGTCAAACTTGGCCTGTCTTAAAATGAAATACATACTAATATTTAAGATGTTGCACTTCAGTTATTCAGACTCGGAAAGTTTAAACTTATATACAGTATGCCGTCAATGCAATTCAACCGGTTTAATTCTCAATGCAAAACAACAAACATATAATGCTCATTTAAAAAGTCACAGACCATAGCTACTCCCCACAAGCCAACGACAGCTTTTGTGGCTTACAAATTGTCATTTGACATTGTACATTTTGAATTCTTCTGCAACAGAAAATATTAATGCAAAATGTAAGCTATAATTAAGAGAGCACTAGTGTTAGATAACCCTGTGCAAAAATAATTCGCAGACTTACTGAGGAATGTACAATGTAAACAACAACAGCAAAATGTTTCAGGTTAGAAACAAAGATACACACCAAAACATGTAGGAAGAGCCTTCTGTTCAGAAAGGGGTAGGTCAAAAATATATACAGCTTTCTCAAATGAAATTGAGACTAAAACACAAAATGAAAATCATTCGTAGCAGTTCTGGAAGGGATATTTAAATTGAAATGGATTTATTTAAGCAGTCTATAGTAAATGCCAAGAGTGGTGGGGAGTGAAGGAGAAGAAATTCA